TTTCCCAAAGGAATGAATAAAATTTCTCTAAGAGAAGAAACTTACCTTCTGTTTCCCGTGACTATCAATGGAAACAGTCACAATTTTTGCTATGAAGCCGTTCTTGTTGGCCACTTCGAACACCATCAGATTATCGTCCACAATAACGTACTTGAACAGAAATACGAAGCAGATTTCATCTCATTATGCAGTTTCACCATGACAACTAACTCTTCCTGCAGCTGATAGTAATCTCGTTCCTCCGCATCTTCGAATTGGCAACGGCCAAATAGGTTCACCATCATTCTGAGAAGTTCGCTGGGCAACAGCGGTATGAGAAGTAGTGCCGCGTGTTGCGCTCCAGCGGTGACCCCTGCGCTGAAACCAAAAATGGAACCAGTAGTAAGTACGAAAGTCTTCTTTATGAGGGAGTAATCAACCGACTAGTCAAAACTTCTGTCAGCCACGTCCGTGTTTCGGCAAACTTAGCGCGATGAAACATCAATAGCAAAGCAAAAGTGATACAATCAGAAATATTATGCAAGTATAAGAGCGTGGAGTAGGTTTGGGGGAATGGGTTAACGCTTGAACCTAGAACCCCTCGTGAGGCAGATTTGGTCTAGCATAGATTTGAAATAATATACAGTTCAAGGCAGAAACTACGGAAACAGTGAACATCATTGCTGCTGAATATACAGGCATCATATTCAGTCCTTAGGGGAACCAGACTTGGGTAAATAGGAATTTGACCTCCTCCTCTCAGATGGAGAGTGGGTATCACTTGAAAATACCACTTATTTCCATAACGGATCTCACATGGACAGCAAACAAGAAAATGAAACGATCGATCATCCAGAAACGCGGCACAATCCAATGGAGATCGCATATATAAGCTCAATCCATATATAAGCTCAAAATGACCTACCTCCTCCACACTTCTTTGCTGTCTATTCCACTGTCGCCCACCTCCGGTTATATAGCTTGCGACACCACTTAACCTGTAGGGGATGCTGCGTGGCTCTTCGTGAGGACGTGCATTCCTCACCCGCTTAAAAAAGGATAGTTTCAAAAAAAAAAAAAAAAAAAAAAAAAAAACAATAGCCTTCATATGCCACAGCGCAAGTTTTTAGTTGAAAAGAATATCCTTGGCGTTAAACTCTCTGGAAATGGCATGAACACAAACACTCGACGCCCAGTCACTGAGCAAAACTGTTCTATTTATTTCTGAGCGTACAAACAAAGTAAAGTTGAAAGAAGTGGGGCACGCGACGTTAGGAGAAAACAAACACTGGGAATTGATATATACCAATCGACCGAATCAAAGATGAAAACTGTTCTCGGAAAGGATGAAAATTGCTTGAACTGATGAAAGTTCAAGCTAGCTAGAAAATGACCAGTCAAAATACTAGGGCGCTTGCCCAATGAAATGCAGATTGGTCTTTTATATTTGATACTTATCTTTATTCAATAATAAGGTACTTTAATGAAGTGTTATATATTATTCGAAAGCTTATCTAATGCTCTTTCTAAATGATACTTCAAGATTGGTTGTAATTCTTTTCATTATCATTTTTATTGACGTTTTATTGCAGATGTCAAAACGTGAATTTCGCACTATTTTTTCTATGAGTTCAAGCTAGGCCGAAACGCTGCCGAGACAGCTCGAAACATTAACGAAGTTTGGGGTCAAGGAAGTGTCAACGAATGTACGGTCCAACGTTGGTTCCAGAAGTTTCGTCTGGCAACACCAGCCTTGAAGATGAACCTCATGTTTGGTGGTCTCCGCCTCTCATTCCATCACAGCTTGACTGAATCCTCAGATGTCGAAACAATACGGCAAGACAGTACTAGCTTCTATTGCATTTCGTCATTTGTCAAAACAAATTTCGACAAATGCATCAGAAGCTTCAACGCATGTGCCCAAGTTTGGTCAATACCTATTCTTCTCCACGACAATGCCCGACCACACGTGTGCTCACACAATGCTCGACCCTCCAAAGTTAAACGAATTGGGCTATGAAACTCTGCCTCGTCCACCATACTCACCAGACCTGTCGCCCACCGATTACCACTTTTTCAAGCATCTGGACAACTATCTTAAAGAGAAATGCTTCAAAAAACCAAGACGATGCCAAAAACGCCTTCAACGATTTCGTGGCCTCTAAAAAGAATTACAACCAATCTTGAAGTATCATTTAGAAAGAGCATTAGATAAGCTTTCGAATGATATATAACACTTACATTTTATTGGAATAAAATAAGTATTAATACAAAAAAACGAAATCCTGCATTTCTTTTCAACGAACCTAAAGAAGGAAACAACTTTACTCCCTAGAGTTGCCATTTTCTTATTCCCTGTAGTAAGATGCTGAAAACCCATCAGCACTATACTATTTTACAACTTTCCGATAAAATGAGGAATTATGCGCATGCGGACGCGACGGGGGGGAGGCTGAAGTGCCGGTTTGTCTCCAGAAATTTCGGCTCCGAGCTCATTTTAGAGGTGCAAATCTACAAAGCGCCTAAAAAAAAAAAAAAAAAAAAAAAAAAAAAAAAAAAAAAAAAAAAAAAAAAAAAAAAAAAAAAAAAAAAAAAAAAAAAAAAAAAAAAAAAAAAAAAAAAAATACTTGAAAAATACGCGAAATCCAACATCCTGATCCTGAATATGACATTCATTTTGGCGCTGGCGCTAATGGATGACACTACGGATTACCTGCGCTCTGCTAAGGCTGAGCCCAGGAGGTAATCGTAGTGTCCTCTCTTGGCGCCAGCGCCAAGAATGAGTGTCATACTCGTAAATCGGCTCGATGTTGAATTACCCCTAGTATGCAATTTAGTGGATTGGTTGACATTACGCAAATTTAGAAATAGAGCTCAGCACAAAATTTCTGAATCCAAACGGAATTACCCCATGGGAAACGAAGATAGCATTTTTCTCTTTGCCTGATCCAATGTAACGTATTGATTGCTTACAAGAAATCACAGGTACTTTACAAGAGTTGACAAGTAGTTTCTGCAAACTTTGACTGGTATACCAAATACTTATCAAGTTTTGCAAGTCTTTACCTGGCTCGGCACGACAATGGGAAGCATCGAAAGCACGAAATGCCCCTTCTTCCCTTCCCTCGTATTAAAGACAGCTCCCACGATAAAAGTGTCTTGGATACTGTTTCAATTACGAACAGTAGCTAATAATAATCTCCCAAAGAAGAAAAAACAGGCAAGAAGCGTCCTCCAGAACAACATAAACAAAATCGCTCCCTCACAGTCACACCTCCCTGCGGTCTCTGTGCAACCCCTAGCTCACAAATCTCTCTATCACATCTCGCAAGAAGTTGATATCATTGCAAAAATACTAAAAAAAAAAACGCAAAAACGCAGAGGAAAAAACTCTTGGAAGAAAAAGAAATTAAAGTTGGAGTTCCGATATTTTGGGGTTACGGTAGAGCAATTTTAGCTGCCACTAGAAGTGACGTCGAGCTTTATTGCACCCACGAAAATTGCGTCACTCGTGCGCATTACGCAGTTTCACCTCTCGAAAATGGTGAGTTGAAGGCTAGATGACCCATTGGTAAACTTAAATAAAGTGAGAGCAGAATTATCACTGGACGAGTGCGTCAGCAAAAAGGAGGGGATTTTTTTTGCAAGTTCCGATTAATGCCCGCCGCCCCAACTAAGAACAACTGAGTGGCCTCGTCGGAGGGCATCTAGCAAGTAAGGCGGTCCAACTGAGCAGGCGTTAGAACTGCGCTAGCTTGCTCCCCGTTCACTTGATCAATAGAGGTCTCTAGCTTGGCCTGCGACTACTGCACAATCGCAAGGAACGCACCATGTACTACTCGAGCGCCGGGCTGTCTTTAAAATACAAAACTAGCAAGATGATGTGAAGAGTAGAAAATGTGCCAATGACATACTTCTCGCGACCTTTCATAGCCACTTCTCCGTTCTTTCGAATACTCGCGCGAATGTCGTCGTTCGTGAGAGCGAATATTTTTACGATCCCCCATCGCTGCCCATTCTCGGGAAATTGAAGTGATCTCACAATAGTCGATCATAAATGTCGACTGTTGGATGTCTGGAAAAGTAATCAGTGAATAAAATCAGAATCATCAAGACATGACTGAAACCACTTAGTTAAAGTGGTCAAGTAGTCAGCAGTTAAAAAAGAACGAAGGAAAGAAAAAGAGAAAGGTTCTACACGAAAAGATAAAACGCTGTTAACAGAAAAAAAGTCAATTCTGTGTACCATTCAAGGATATTCGCTTGCTAGCGTCCGGTTCCATCATGCGTTCAATTAACTCAACGGCTGAAATTCCAAGGCCATCGAGGCGCACTGGGCCTATAACGCACTGGATGAGGTCAAATTACAGAGATTACTCTGAAACATGGACTGAAGTAAGAGGAAGAACCAGTGATACCTTTCGATGGTGGATCGCTACCAGTCAGCATTGTGTACAAAACTCCACCCAACGAGTAAACATCTGCTGCCTGATCGTACTCCTGCTTGAAGACCTGACTGTAGCCAAGGTCGAATGTCATCAAGGGGAAATCAATCAACAGAGGAACTTACGGTGCAATGTAGCCTGGTGTACCCACTACTGTGCAAGCAGTTTCTCCTTTGCGAAGGTGCGTTGCAAGGCCAAAATCACATAATTTCTGAAGACCATATTGAAATTCGTAATTTCAGAAACGTGTACTTTAGAAACTGACCACGGATATCTTCTCGGGTGAGAAAATCCTACTAATGAGAACATTTCCTGTCGAAAGATCTCTATGTAGCACATCTTCTCGATGCATGTACTTGACCGCACTTATAATCTGCCTCAGCACATAGGCAGCTGAATAAAACTTTGACGAGTACTGCTCGCTTCATGGGGAGGAGCGTTTAAAAGTCTCAAAGTACAAAACTGGTGCTACGAAGAGGAGTAGAAGAAGGTTTCTGACCGAAAAAGGAGGTCTGGTTGGGTGAACCAACATAATTTTGTAATGGAGGCGCTTTGCGCTGCAATAATGCCAGTTTTTGCAGAAGAACCCTCTGAAGACCCGTCTGTAAGGCGAGCAGCGCTTTTGATAAATTCGTAAAATCAAAAAAGAAAGACTTCGTCGTCCAAGAAATCGTTGTTACCGTATTCCGTTGCCATTATACTGCCTCGAGCAATGCCGAGCACATTGGCCCCATCGCTTGGTGGATATTGCGCACTTAGCGGGCCGTTGCAGGAACAACTCCCCCTCTCCAGGGAGGTTCCTGCAACGGCCTGGGTCACGGTAGCAATGATTCTCGGACAGCGATATCCCTCTTATAACTTCGTATTTTACACGGCTTATAGCAATACTTTGATGAATCTCTCACACTAGGGTAATATAGTACCTGCTCGATCACTCAGTGGTCCATTCTTCTTGACATAAGATCGCATCGAACCCAGCTCACATAATTCCATTACTACATAGGTATCATTGCCATCTATGAAATCTTCGAAGAACTAAACTATCTCTATTAGTAGGAGCACCAAGGAAAAGGAGAAGAAGCGGAAAGGAAAGTGCATTACCGTACCTGCACAATGTTAGGGTGACGCATGCATCTTATCGCTCGAATCTCTCCTTTAATGCGTTCAGCTGCCGCTCGTGAACAAATCTAAGAAAGAGCACTCGAATGAAAGGATTCCCACTCAAAGCGCTACCAAAAGAAGGAAACTGAGAGTAGCACCAGAAATAAATCATTGGAAACACACCTTTTTCAGAGCAATGCGCTCGCCGTTAGGATGAGTTGCGGCATATACTATTCCAAATCCACCACGACCAATTTCTTCTAAGTCTTTAAAATCCTGAAATGCATAAATGAACCATAAACGACAATAGTTTGAAAGCAACGAGCCCAATTTGAAACATTTCAAAGAAAACTCACACTTAGCCGTAGTCTGCCACTTGTAGACATTTCATTTCCGATCCGCTCGTCTCCTCAGAATAGTTAGAGCTGATGATCCGAGCAGAAACTCGAGAAATAACCGTGTTTAAGACTCGGTTATTCCACTAATTCATCTGGACGCTGGTTTGAAAAGAAAAAGTTCGCGGGTGTATCTGCAGACAACACACCGACTTCCTTTACGCCAAGTTGTCATTGGAGCACAGAAATCTCTTGGAGCTTGACATGAAGTCACATGAGTCGTGTTTTGAAGAATTGCATTACCATAAAAGGACCCCACTGCATGCACTAATTGATTCAAAGGATTGTGGGGCTTAGTAAATACAAATGGTCATGAGAAAATCAAGGAAAGAGTTGAGGAACACCTCACTAATATCTCTACACAAACTACAGACATCTTTCTCGATATTTCCCATTTGGAATACTGGTCAGTAACTGCAATCGGTGCACTATCACTTCCATAAAAGTGTGTTCATACTTTGCGTCAGCGTCTTGAGCGTACACCAGCGTATGGTAGCCTTCTGAGCGACTGGGAAAAAAGTATGGGATCAATTGAGCATTCTGAGCGTACGGCAGCGCTTTGACCGTTCCGTGGGTAGTTCTGAATTTTTCTCGGACGGCTGAAAACGCTAGCGTACGCCCAAGTGCTAGATCAATACCCATACATTCCTAGGCGCTCGAAAGGCTGCCGTATGCTCGAATGCAAACGCAAAGTATAAACTAAGTCTAAATGCCGCGAAGCGATCATGTAGAGATACTAGACTCCATGATGAAACAACTCCATTCAGGAGTAGATCTTCTTGGATTAAACTACTAATGACACCGTATCCTTTTGGACTGAATGATAACATAAAAGGATATGCTAACACTACAAATACAGACAATCTTCTCAGGCACAAACACAATCTTCCCTGTTCCTCCTTAGAATCGCAGAACAAAAAATAATATCGGAGCAAGAAACAACAGTAAAAAGGAATGGTCACTCACGAGAACACCATAACAGACATTTACCAGTAATGGAGCAACAGTAATGGAACCTATACTAAAGTGCGGATTGATCAAATGGTTAGGTAAAAACGCGTCCATAGTTTGCGTTGGAACGACCAACGATCGAGCGATCCAAATCGATCGAATCCATAAGTATGAACGCGCTTCGAAAAGAAATTCTATTCCTTCCTGTGGATTTACTCCAGACAGTGAATAATAAGGCTGGATATTTGATATTTCGCATGCTGGCCACTTTCTTTGACACTGTCGTGTAGGAAAAACCAGAAAAACTTTTACAACTGAGAAAAACCAGTTTTAGAAGCAAAATAATCAATGAAATACCCTTTGAGAGCATCTTGTTTAACGTACTGGTATAACGGATGTTACTCAGCTCTAGATAAGTGGAAAAGCGGTGCAAAAACCCCAATCGTCCCTTAGGCTACCTACCACCAAACACCTCTAGCCCCGTCAATTATCCCAATTTTTCGCCACTTTTTCTATAAAAGACTAATGTCCGGCGGGGGTGGGATATAAAGCGGCACGTGAAACGGAAAATAGACAATCAGAAGAGTTTCCGCCGTAGTTTGTAAAGATTTCTCTCGGAGTGTCAATAGCACACACTTTCTCCAAACAAAAATACCGGGTTAGAGTTTGAAATCATAAATGTGATTTGAAATATATTAAAGGAAGAACCCGCGATTACTCGCCATCTCAGATGGTGGATTAGGGGGTTCCATATAGACGACAAGGGGTTGAGTAACTCGTGAACAAAAAAGCACAAAAAACATGCCACCTGCCCTAGACAGAACGCCATTTCGTCGCCAGTTTTGTACGTGCCCAATCAGACTCTTATGCCCAAAAACTACGCCCTCCATATGCACAACTGACGCATCGATACATGAAAGAGATGGGCGAGAGCCTGCTCCTGTTCATCGAAAAACATCTTCGTCCGGCCTGTACTCGTATCCACGTCTTCTATCTGGGCTGCGTAAACTTTACTGTTATGTGACTCGGCCAAAGCGTCTTTTTTGACCCCGTATGCACAGCCTAAGCTATATAAGAACCACTTGAATTCAGATATAGCACAGGTGCTCAAAGCAGTAGTGTTAAACCCTTGGCAAAGGAACTACACATGATTCTCACATATCTTAAGAACCATTGTTAACTACGCGAAAGTAATGCAGAACTGCAACAGAACAAGAGACATTGGTCGATAAGTAAAACTAATATAAGGCAGAGAATCAACGATATTCTTTCTGTAAACTCGTAATTTATACCGAAGATAAGATTTCACTGGTATGTTCACAATCATGGAACATGATCTCGTTATCAAGATCATGTGACAGATCCTAAAAACTTGCTTCAAAGATGTCGATAGATTGCTAATTTTTGATACTTTTCTTGTCAGTTTCTCTCTCATCAGTGCTTGTTGCGTGAACCTCAAATCACTGTTGAAGATGAGGACGTTGATGAAGTTGCGAAACTCCGTTTGCGAAATAGGCAATGCGAAGCTTTTGTGACTTTTTAGTTTATCCCTCCCTCTCCTCTTTTAATTTGTAGATGATTTAACAAAGTCAATTGGAATGAAATCGAATAAGTGAAATGAATGCTGAAAGCAAAAATATCAATTCGAATCGCTGAACGATGACACTGACGACGTATCGCTAGCCTCCTCAGTTGGCTCGTCCCGTAGGAGTGATGAATTGGTGGCATTTGGTGAAGGTGCATTGGGATGGCTAAATGTTGATATGTTGCAATCATAACTTAAACCTTATAAGTAATACAATTATTTCAAATCAACTGATTTGTTTCAGGCACGAAATAAGCATATGCCACAAACGATCCTGTCCCCGGAGATAGTCGCGTGCGTTACTTAGCTAGAGTTACTCGATGGGACCTAATTACTGGTTACAGGGCTTCTATGAACCACATATCTCACGACGCAAGGGTCCAGAGGTAATTTCTCATCGCATTTTCCGGCCGTGCATCTGATGGTAAGGAAGAAGCAAGAGAGGAGAAAGGATGGAAAAGAAGGAAGGAGGAAGAAAGGAGGCGAGAGGCGTCGTGGTTGACAGACATTACGCGACCCATTTACTCAGATAAACCTCGACTAACGGCCAAGGAGTCGAAGCTGCACTAGGTGTACGCACTGATGATATTGGTGGGGCTCATTTGGATATGGGAACTATGCATGATTAGGTTCTTTACATGGTTACATGGATCAAGATGCCACGGTGTCACCCTGGACTCTACGAGGTAAGTTCAGTGCCCCTAGAAAACGCGCCCATCGCTACCACAAGTTATTTCACAAATTACCATTGGAAATAACTCACTCTAGCAATGATGGGTCTACTCCTTCACTCTGCATCTTCTGTTTTACCGCAAGGTTCAACGACACCCTGAAATTGGGCTTTCTGCCATATTCTCACAGCACACACGTTGAAGGTGATGAGCCACTTAGCCAATATAGGACTATATTGAAGCTTTTGAAAGCGATAGTCCAGGTGTATGCTCTAATTATAAAAGAATCTGAACTGCCCGTGATCACTGACCATTTTCAACATCTTGAAATATTTTGCGAAAGCGGGGTCGTCCTTGACAAGGAGTACATGAGGCGCAGTTGTGCTGGTTTCATGCCTGGCTGCCTCTGATCGAACGGCTTCAATTGCCGCTGGAGGTGCAGCAGCCTGAACTCATGAATAGAACTCAAAGTTATTAGAGATAGTGGAAATTTAAAAGAATACTTGTGAGTTTTCCTTCACATCTGGATTCTGTAAAGACTCGGCCTTCGGCTCATTCCCAACTGGAGGAGTCTAAATAAAGCAGAGAGTAGAACAGAGGTTCAGAACAGCCAACGTTTGGCAGGCTGTAAACTCATAAGAGTATCACGAAAACATGAGTCTCATAACTTATGTGTGGTTCTGTTCACGCCAATAATCTTTCATCATCTCTTTCTTTAAATCACAAAAACAACGCACCTAATCCCCCTATAGCGCATGCTGCTCGTTTTTCTAACGAAAGGAGATCTCATGTTGATCCGCACCTTCGCAAAATCCTGTAAGATTATGAAAAAGAACGAAAGTGAAAATCAAACCTGCGAGGGAGCAGCCATCTGCTTTGAGCGCTCCGACTGCAATTCCGCCGCATCGAGAGTCGAATCAGGTATTGACGCTAACTAAACAAGAGTTTCGCTAGTAGAAGCAACTGGTCAAACATATCAAAAGGTTGCTGAGGTATGGACAAAATGTTCGTTTCAGCTGAGAAATCGAATTCAGGACCTTTGCCTACTCAGGTTCATGTTCCGACTGATGCGATGCTCTCGATCTGCGTTTCAGATAAACATCATTTCAGATCTTTGCGTCAGCGTTTTAAGCGTACGCAAGCGTACCAGCGCACGCTCAAGGAGCTGTGTCGATACCTTTACTTTCCCCTCTCTGGTCGTTCGAAACGTTGCCGCACGCGTCGCAACGGTGAACGCAAAAAGTATGAGCATGGTAACAATTCCATCTCGCCGAGTTTAGGTAGGAACAGTAATTAGGCAAGAACGAGTCATCAAACATGGCAAAAATAAAGAATATCTTGTCGAGGATGTACCTCCTTCTTTGCTGGATTCGTAATTAAAATAAATGTCCCGGAAATTACGAAACCGTTAGGCAGAGTATGAAACATTTTTTTGCTTTTTGCATTCTTTATCAAGATATAAAGTATGTAAGATAGAGTTACGAATGTAATAGCACATAAGGCAAGGCATCCACAGCATTTTTGGCACATGCAAGACGTCTTCACGACGCAGAATCGATATTCTTGGAATTTCACCGAACCCAAACACACTCAGTCCATATTTTCATTTGAGCGCCTTGTTCTTGTATGGACTGGATCAACTGGGACACTAAACAGAATGCTGGTCCGAGAAAAAGCCGCTTAAACGGCAATATCGAAGGGGTGCATGAGTGCTGGTAAAATTCCAGGAACATCGGCGTGGATGTGTCAGTAAAGTCGTGTCACTCATTTGCGACAATGTCTACTCCATACACGAACCCTATCATAATACGTTCCGTTCTTGCTACAATAAAGAAGGTAGAAGGGTTTTCCACTCACTACAAAAGATGGCGTTAATTTTGGGCACTGGACAGGGGCAAAATAAAAAAAATAAAATGTTAACGCTATAACCTTCGCCTCCAATAGTTGTAATTTAATATCAGCTGCTCGAAGTTGCCGTTCTGCTTCAAGTATTGCTCGTTCTGCGCGATTTGCAAAAGCATTGAGGAAGTCGATCATCTTGTAAAGGTAGCAATTCACGAACGCAACAACACGACGTCGATTGAGCGGTGCGACCTCAAAAAAACTTTTTGGAAGCCTCTTACTGTGACTTCGAACAGAGGTCAACAGGGCAGTGGGGAAAACAACAAGCAGCCGCCCCTCAATCCCACCAGCGCTCCAAATTCGACTTCGACTGCGTTGAAACCTTCAGTTGGGGAAAAGCGATAATTCAATAGAAGGCTGGAAAGGGAAAGATACGAATCGATCCGGAGAATCGCAGCTTGCGACAGTCGGTGACAAAGGACCGTAATAACTAGGGAGGTTGATTTCCAAAATTCCGAAAAGGCGAATTATAGACGAACCCCGCGATTGCTTACTGTGGACAGTGACGTCAATTATAAACCTGTAGTCGCTAAGTTATGCTCCAGGGAAGGAAAAAGCACAGAACAGTGATGGAGAACACCCTAAGGACCCCCGGTAGCTCCACTGTTTTCCGGAGGTACTCGTTTTGAGCCAGCAAAGCGATTTCCTGCCAGCTCTCGCTCACTAATCGTTTATTCGCGTCATTCTATGCTGATGCCACCAACCGAAAGTGAACAAAAAAATGCAGAAAACAGGCCGAAGTTGATGGGCGGGGCAGAAGGGAAGGCGTCAGAATGCCACTCAACTTTAGAAGCTTTTGTTACTCTTTTCGTCCTGAACGCGGACCGCGGGCAATAGTAGAGACCGCGGCGTCAAACTCTTTAAATATTAGGTTGGTGCATAAGTTCTTAGCCCCGTGTTTGATCCTTCCGTATTTCGTTTGCATGGATGTTGGTATATCGTCATCACGTGTGCGTGACGTGGGCACTATACTCTTTTATCACACTAGCTATCACTCACCCACCTTGCATTTGCAGGCCACAATGTCGCACAATTTCCACTGTGAGAATGTACCTGCGCCACTGCCTGGTTTTGCTTCACGATTCACAAAAGAAGCTTCACTTTCTCAACTCGATGATCACTGGAGATGAGAAGTGGGTCCTCTACGATAACCCTGTGAGGAAGCGGCAGTGGGTCGACAAAGGAGAACAGCCAGAAGCCACCCCAAAGGCCGACCTTTCACCCCAAGAAGGTTCTCCTGTCCGTCTGCTGGAGAAGGGACAGAGCGATTGTGGTGCCACATATATTACCAGCTGCGCCCAATATTGAAAGGTCAGCGTCGCCTTACTCGTGGATCGAATGCGGAAATCTGCTTCCACCATGACAACGCCCGACCTCACACCGCAAAGGCGACCCGGGCCGAGCTGGAGAAGTACGGATGGCTGATGGTCGCCCAGCCCCCTACAGCCCTGACATCGCTCCTTCTGACTACTGGCTGTTCAGCCACCTGCAGCGCTCTCTGGACGGAAAAAAAAGTTCGAAACAAAGGATCAGGTCAGAAAGGCGCTCGACGACTTCTTCAAGTCCCAGCCTCCGTCGTTCTGGAAGAAGGAATCGACAAGCTGCCTGAGCGCTGGCGTCGAGTAGTGGATGGTGATGATGCATACCTCTAATCTTCAGGTTGGTTCGCTATTGAGATATTTACGAAAAAAGGTCGGGCTTGCTGAGAACTTATGACACAACCTAATAAGTTACGGCTGACAGATTGGCTTGCGCGACGTACGGCTGCAGCTTCAGGTTATTTTGTACCCTATTCCCGCCTTCCATCCTAGATCGCAAACTGTTGCCTAATCGACATCTGCTCTACAATACTTTCCTTTCGCCAAACCGTCGATGAAGAGGTTGCATAGAGGAGGCGCTTGACGGTTTCACTGGACGATAGTCACGGTTTCCACTGGACATATGCATGAACATAGATCCAACTGACACTTTTATCCGAGTTCTAGTTAATCCAATTTAGTAACATGTAAATCATCTGACCTGCGAAAGATCTATGTCCGATTTTATAAAACTTAGATCTGGTTCGTTCATGCTTTGATCCTAAGCCTGAATTCGTTTTGAGCATTTCAACTTAAGAACCTAAGCATGCTTGGTACGACGTGGAAATCCAGAAACATAACTATTTCCAGCAATGCGGGACGTTTATTCTTTACAACGACATATCATGAACATCATCGGATGCTTTCGAGACATCAAAACACTCGTAGTTCGACAAAAATTCGAAAAAAAAGATAAATGAAAAAATCACAACGCAAATAGGAGCAATTAGCAAATCAATGAACAATCATAATTGTTTCGGAAAGAGGCTCAAAGAAGGGATCGTTAAAATTATGTATGAAAATAAAGCATGCGAAGCTGATTACACCCAGGCTTTCGTTTTGTCTGTTTTTCATAAAACTTAGTCAGAAGACTCCTTCCACTTGAAGTTACAGTACAACAGGTAACCAGTCACTTAGAAACTCAATGAATAAATTGTCAAAAACCTGCATAGGGTGATACTTCTAAGGGCTGAACATGCTTGAATGGTTCACTTTTTCCTATCGACAACACGGACCTCCTCTATGGGAGAAATGTGAGAAACTTTATCCTGAGAAAGGGCAGAACGCATCTGTGAGGAACTAGCAGGTGGAATATGCCTAGGAGTACTTTGTTGCGAACTTTCCGAGGTAGAAACAGGGGTACGGTTGAGTACACGACTTAAGGAAAGAGGTGGTAGACGTTCTGATGGCACTAGGATCTCATTTACCGTCTCGATCATTGGAACAAGATGTTCGAAGAGCAACTAAAATTCATTTCAATAAAGTTCACGAACTGCCAAAGAACTGGTGCCAACCGCCGACCTGGATATGAATCACATCATCGCGCAACTTTTCCAGTTCCTGCAAATGAGCTATGAAGGTGTCAGTCGCTTTCTTTCTCTCGGTAATACGGTTAACGATTGCAGCAGTGGAGGCATCCACCTGAACGGACAGACGATCAAGCAATGTGATTCCGAAAGCAGGACAATATTTCAAATGAGTTTGAGAAAACTTACCGATTTCACGGCCTGATTTATCTGATTTTGTTCTGCAACAACTGCAGTCGCACAAGTCTTCAAATGCTGTTGAAAACGTGTCGCCATTCTGAACCAGTTGAGAGTTGCTTCAATAGAAAATTGAATTTAATGACCGCAAACCACACCGAAACAACGGACGGCTGCTCATTTTATGCTGGATTTCGTTTTGTGTAAGATCTTTCTTTCCGATGGCATGTCGCAGAATTGGAAGGAAGCGAGGAATTTCCTAAAAAAAGTCAAGGCAGCCATTAACGACTTGGCAGAGAAAGCAAGCTGAAACTAACTTTGAACCGTTTGAAAACTTCGTCATCTTCTTGTGTTTCGACTTTAGTGTTACCACCGCTAACCACAACGATGCCTTTAGATTTCTTCGAGCTTCCTGGAACAGTTGGTGAACATAACAAAGTGAAGCTCATCAGTGCTCTTTATATGTACCTGACACTAAACATGAAGAAACTTCAAAAAAGAGCATTTTTGTTTTCAAAAGTGTAACAAATCATATTCAAAACAAACATTGAATGATGAACATTTTAATCACAGAGAGCCCGGCACGTACATCTATTAAGATGGATCTGAACTGAAAAATCACGGCCAACCTCGTCCTGATAGGAACGAAAATGCAGAATTCGAAGACGGTTGGGGAGAACCTCCACTACCACTTTGCTCGTTACCCATAACTTAATGAACTGAACCCTAAAAATAACCGCTAAGGAAAACATAAAAATGCCTCCTTTCGTAAAGTACCTAGATTGGTCTGAAAGACGAACTGCCCACTCTAGACAGGATAGTTATCGCTCGATACCGCATCCATAGAAATCCGGTCGACACCGGATTCTAACCAATTACGTTCGAGATCTGCTAGGGATTCCTGAACAATGGAGTGAGATGACTGATAGCTTTATCCATGAAGAAGTTTCAGCAATTCAATATAATGATAGCAAACAGTCCAACAGGTCTACTTCAAAACATGATGGCGAGTGTGTGAAGTGTGTGATAAGACAATCGTAAATATGCCGGCGCTGGGCGTGCAAAGCAATGCCGAGCACGCGAGAGACGAGTTGTTCTGCCTGGATGTTCAATTTTGATGTTGAACAGGAAAAGATTTCACACGGTATTGGGTGTTGCCTCTGCTTGAATCACACGAGTTTCTCTGGTCCAATCGATAGACTGATGCACATCCGGAAATTACCGCGCACCGCCGCACTGTGCGCTGCGCGCGACTATGCACCAAATCACGATTGTCTTGACCGTTTCACACCTTGTGACATTGAAGCAGGAAAAAAGTGTGAATTGGGCTATCGCGAAATCGGGGAATCGGAGAATAGGAGATCCATGAAAAAGATTAGATACATTAGACACTTGTCTCGTACTGTGTAATTCTTTCGGTTTCGCGATTCTCCGACTGTGCTGGTCTATACCGCGTTCATACTTCGCGATTCTAGTGCCGCAAGGTATGAACACGGGCCTGAGTTGGGCAAACTACGCGACAGGTTTTGTGAACAAACGCACCACGGCACCAGCAGCTTCGCATCATCGTATGCAAAATTGAATGGAACCCAAGCTAAGGCTGCGTTCATACCGTGCGACGTCGTCGTCAACGTCGACGTAACCGACGACGTTTTCTGCGACTACTTCACGAAGACGAAATATGTATTGATCCGACGTAACCGACGAAAGCGACGTAACTGACGACAGAAGATTAAATACGTACCGAAAACGTCGGTTTCGTCGAATCGATAGGTATCAAATCTTCGTGAAGTAGTCGTCGAAACGTCGGTTACGTCGGTTTCGTCCGTTACGTCGGATCGATACGTATATAATCTTCGCGAACTAGTCGTCGAAAACGTCGGTTACGTCGACGTTGACGACGACGTCGCACGGTATGAACGCAGCCTAAGACGAAATCAAGGCCAGAGGAAAAGAACCATTTAGCTCGAAGCTTCTTAATTAATGGGACAGCGAACGTCGCTTCTCAACATGACGTAAAGATGCAAGTGATGACTTCCTTAGAAAAATTACTGGTGCATCTGCAATTTCGATCATTTTGAAATTATGTGTCAGAAATCGAATCTAACTGTGAAATATGTTTAAGGTAATATGAAAATCCAGAACTATTAGTATCTTTTAATATGATCGCCTTTAGCCTTCACACAGCTTTTCACATTATCGAGCGTTCGTCACTACCGAAGCATTGTGTGAAGACTAAAGCTAATCACTTTGAAAGCTGTCGACTTTTGGAATTACGATGGATAGTATTCATAGTTAGAGTTGATTTCTGAAGGGTGACACCAGAACGGGAGATGTCCTGCCGTGGAGGGAAATTTTTGCAAAATATGACCTCCTTTAAGAATTCGCTCCCCTGGTACGACCCCACCCCTTCCCCATCCTACCTACGAAGTTCCTCCTCTTCTCCTCAAAAAGCCGCTTTTCCCTAAGTCGAGCGAGAAGGACGCAGTGGCGAACGCACTGGAAGGGGAAAACCAAGAAAAGTCAACCAAGACGACTTTTCTCAAAAGCAGATGTGAGCCCCTTCCCTCCTTACAGCAATCAAGCACCACCTTCCTTGCTGTGAATTCCCGTTGTACGTGCACTACTCCGGAATTCCACGGGGAACATTGAAACTGCTGTGATTTTGCCTGATCCTGCACTCACTGCGATAACTCTT